CCCCCCCCAATGTGCGCCCCTGAATGTACGTATAGTTTATACACCGTACGCTTTGCTGAATACAAACATATCGTCGCATATTTTAAATCTCGTTTATTACTGCACAAATTTATAATAATCCACACATTCCTATCTGATGTTTGTAATTCTTATTATAATTCTTAACCGCAAAATATCTTGGATATATCAGATATCAGTCCATTTTGGATATATCAGATATCAGCGCTCTTTTGTGTAAATTGCTGTGTAAAATAATTTGAAGAACGTGTGGTTTAGCGATAGCCTGTAAAATCTGTGATACAGGCTATAGTTTAGCGAGGGACAAGATCAAAATCAAGAGATTGAGTGAAATAAAAAGATAGTATTGTATTAATTTGAACATTTTATTTAATAGAAAACTCCTGGAACAATTAAGTCCTCAAATTGCAAAGATGTTTAATAACAAAAACTTACCGAAAATAAATCTCTAACTGGAATGCGTATGACACTGTGTGGTCAAACCGACGAGGTACCATTTTCCATAACTTTTATAAAATTGCGCATTACGGCTAAATGTTGCACACCAGGTTTCAAATAAACTCTTATCTCTCCCTTTATAATAAACAGATAATCGTCCCCTAGCGGTCTGGTTTATAGCACGATAGATACCCTCGTTAGGCTTCTGAGCACAAGCAGCTGTATCTAAACTGACCGAGTCAACGTAAAGATAAAACATATCAAGATCATAACCAGAACCTCTCTTTTTAAAAGCAGCAAGACATCCCTGTCTTTTTAAATTTAGCATGGCACCATTATCACGAAACCGAAACTGGGCCGCTGGATCCAGACAGCCTCTGTTGGAAACTTCCAGAAAAGACAAGTTTCCCCAACTGCCGTTTGACTGTATTTGACCTGTGTCTTTAATACAATACCGTATGTAATTGCGAAGATCAAACACGATCACAAAGAAACAAGCTGCATCTGAAAACAATACAAAAATAAAATTAATAACTGTTTTTAAAATATAATAAAAAATCCGGAAAAAAACAGCAGGAAATGTATAAAAATGCGAAAGCAAGACGTCTATATAGACACCAAAAATATTCCTTAGTTGAAAAGCTAGCGCTGGCATGACCAGCTTTAGGGGCTGTTTACATGAACCCTACAGGAAGGGCTGGCCCTACTAGGCGAGATCCCGCGTGCTATTTGAAATCCTTATTAAAAATTGTTTACGTTTACATGAGAAGAGGGCCAGCCCTCCTAGGCGAGATCTCACTATTATTCACCCGAGATCTCGCCTAGTAGGGCTAGAATTTTCTCATATAAACGCAGTAGAGAGGGCTGGCCCTCCTAGTAGGGCTGAGTGAAAAAGCCGTCGAATCGATTTTAGACTAAACTCTTTGAAGCTTTTTTTGTTTTAAGGATGTAGTTGTAAACGGATATTCAAATGTCTGTTGGCTTTTATTCCAAAATTTAGTCGGCAAACTAGGCATGGTAGAAAACGCGGTACCGGATACGGATACCGGATACGGATACCGGATAGTCTTAAATATTTATTTTTAAGAATTAAAATTGTTGGTTATTGTATTTTTAGTCGTTTTCTTTCTCATTTTTAAGATTTTTTATTTGAATATAAGCGAATTAAGTCGTTAAGTCGTAAGACTGATTTTTTTTTGCATTTATTTCAGAATTATTTGTCAATAATCGCTATATATAATATCGCTCACATTGTGTTTGTGCTTAGTATTAGTTATTACAAAGTTATTAGTTATTACCTTTCTTCAACCATACCTAATGCTACATGTTATTTATTGAGCACAAAGGTTATGTTTTTTTTCATAATGCCACTCCAGGCCGTTATATTAAATTGCATGAGTGTTCTTCAATATATAATATTGTTTATGCAAAATATATCCAGTTTAATATAACGTTTGACCACGTTCACAGTCACTCGTACGAATCCCCGTGTGAACAAGGTGGAACCGGACGAATTTGAGTACGGTCTGAAATTCGTCCGGTCTCGTGTGAACGTAGCATAGCAATTTGTCTTGACGATTTTGCTTTTGATTCACAAAATCGTGAGAAAAATCAGTCATG